TTATGCAACTGGGACAACAGCTTTGATCATTTTCATCACCAGTGATATATTCATTAGTGTTGAGCTGTCTTCCCCCAGAGAGGGCCATGTGAAAGTATCATGGGGAGGGGGTTAAAGGTGAGTACCCCAGCCCCACCATGCCCCATCCCATGAACCTAAAACAGATGGTCAGTAAGGAGGTCCCAGCATACGTCTGGGCCAGAACGCCACCTTTTCCATCACCGATGATCTATTCTCTCTCCTACCCTTGGGATGTGTGTAATATTTTTTGGTAGATAAAGCACCAGAGGATGGTCAGGAGACCGCTCTCTTGTCAGAGTTTTGCCAGGATATTGCTATATGAGTTTATACCCGTCTCTGAAGGTCTCTGAGCTTCTGTGAGATGGAAGGGTGAACACTTCTCCTCACACCTCCCGGCTATGACGGTAAAGCCAAGGAGGGCTGTAGAAAGGGCTTCCACCTCCTTGGAAGGGGCTCTCTCCTTCCAGAATGAGACTACTGCTTTCTAAATTAAGTGATGTCAGAGAGTTCACTGGGATCAGAAAAGATAATCATCCCTAATACCTTTTTACCTCCCTGATCACTGCCTAAAACTCAGTGTAATACCTTTGCACAGCACAGTGGGTGGAGAAGATCCTAAACAACAAAGCTTGTCCAATAGCTGGACAGGCTGCTCAGTGGCTGTGGCAGGGCAGAGCACCCTGTGGTGGCCCGCGTCTCCAGGGATGCATCCGTCCCAAGTAAAGTCTGGAGAAACCCTCCACTTGTGTGAGAAGAACTGCCAAAGAGACCCTGGAGATGATCATCTTGGTTCCAGGCAGGCTGTGGGTTTGGTTGGGTTTTCACAAGCACGGGGGAAATTGGGTTTTCGTCCAATTTGCCTCCGGTTCTCACATTAGAAGTCAATGGGATCCAACAGAAGTCTCTCTATCTCATCTTCCAGATCCACAGCCAACACCCAGTTGCCTGGAAAGGTTCCAACCTTTTCCCCTTAACAGCTGTAAAAAGGGATTTTTGTAAATTCAAGAAGACTTTATTTCTTAATTTCTTCATTTCTGAATCCCTGAGAATGTCAAAGATGTCTGTTGGAGGCCATGGGAATTGTCAACGTACCCTTCCTCCTTCCTGTTGAGCTCAGCTAATAGAGACCACTGATCAAAGCTGAGATTTGAGAACTTGTCATCAAGAAAGCAGTGTCCTTTGTTGTCTTTCAATTTGGTTTGTTTAGGATTGTTTTCTTTTGGGGTTACTATCAGCTCTTCACACCCAGAGGGTAATGAATTATGAAAAATAAAATATTCCATATCCAAAGGAACTGTAAAGAAGATAAATAAAAATAAATAAAAATTAGAAAAGAGTAAAAGGCCGGTCAAACAAATCAGAAAAAAATAATGTGGCCAGGCGCAGTGGCTCACGCCTGTAATCCCAGCACTTTGGGAGGCCGAGGTGGGCAGATCACGAGGTCAGGAGTTCGAGACTATCCTGGCTAACACGGTGAAACCCCGCCTCAACTAAAAATACCAAAAATTAGCCGGGTGTGGTGGTGGGCGTCTGTAGTCCCAGCTACTTGGGAGGCTGAGGCAGGAGAATGGCGTGAACCCGGGAGGAGGAGATTGCAGTGAGCCGAGATCATGCCACTGTACTCCAGCCTGGGCAACAGAGCGAGACTCTGTCTAAAAAAAAAAAAAAAAATCAAAAAATTAAAAAAAAATAATGCAGAGGATTGTCAGAAAGCCCCGAACTAACACCAAAGGGCTTTTCTGCTATCACACCTTTCATTTTTACAACTGGGAGGTCGGGAGTGCCCCCCAAAGAGTTTGAAGGGCAATTGATCCAGGAAGCAGATGAAAGGGTGCGTTTTCTTTTATGATGGCGCTGGTTTCTGAAATTAAGTGTTGCAGGAAGACCTGGCACAGATTCTAACAGATAGCGCCCAGGTTGGAGGCAAAGCACATGTTTTCAAGCTCTGTCATAGCTGCCTCTCCTTATCTCTCCCTTGTGCATAATGAGTCTACAGAGGAGCCCTGCCACTTGCCTCTGAGATGGAACTGGGCCAAGCTGCCAGAGGCTGTTCCACCAGCTTGATTTTACCTCCAGTGCTCCACGTTCTCCCTCTGTCCCCCTTCCTCCATCCTGCCTCCCCAGTACCGTCTGGGATGGCGGATGCCCGGGGGCAGGAGGAGGTTATGCAGGGAAGAGGTGGGGACCACAAAGGCCTGGCTTAAGTAAAATCCCCTCTCAGAGTAAACCTTAAAGTTGTAGTGGTGGTGGTGATTTTGAAATAAGTAGTTTATCATCTATTTCTAGTTTTTAAAAACTTGCTAACACATGTTTTCCTGGAATCTAAGGATGTGGAAACTCTAATTTTGGGGAGAAGAACTAGGACGCCAGAGTTTCTTAGAGGTGCCAAGTGTGGATGGGCACAACTGAAGGGGCATGGGGCAAAGAAGTGGGGCTCTTAGAGACAACGCCCAGGCAGCCGTGTGATTTGAGTTTTCTGAATGTCTAACCCTCTGCCCCCACAGTTATTTCCCATCTCTCCCCCTTCCTTCTCTTTGCTTTCAAAGTTCCATAATAGTCTCCTTAAGTGAGAGGAATGATTTCCAAAGACTGTCCCTGAAACAGCCATCTTCTTACCAATTTCTGTGCAACCAGGGCTTCTCAGTGTTATTTAGATCTGCTTTATCTAAGAACACAGCAGCAACCTCGACGGGCCAGGTCTACCAAATGCACTAGGGAATTGGAATTCGTAATTCCATTTGTTGACAGATAGGGAGAAAAATCCTGGACTATCATACAGTAGATGGGGAAACTGTGTCCCATAGAGGCTGAGTCCCATAGAGGCTGAAGATTACATAGTAAATTAGAGTCAGAGTTAGGGCTAGAAATAAGGTCAGCATTCAATGCGCCTCTTCAACATTTTCTTCCCTGTACCTCATTGGAGGCTGTAGAGAAATGGGTTTTGTTTATGTCTTTTGTTCAATTAATGTTCATTGGGTTTTCACCATGTGAAAGGCACCATATTTAGGACATTAGCTACCTACTCAGTCTCTAATGTCAGTAGGATCTTCCTAATTGTCCAACCAAAGAGAATTCTGTTTTCATTTTATGTAACTTTTATTTTAAGTTCAGGGGTATATGTCCAGGTTTGTTACACAGGTAAACTTGTATCATGGGAGTTTGTTGTACAGATTATTTCATCACCCACATATTAAGCTTAGTACCCATTAGTTATTTTTCCTGATCCTGTCCCTCCTCTCACCTTCTACCCTCCAATAGGCCCCAGTGTGTGTTGTTCCCCTCTATGTATCCATGTGTTCTCATCATTTAGCTCACACTTACAAGCGAGAACATGTGGTATCTGGTTTTCTGTTCCTGCATTAGTTTGCTAAGGATAATGGCCTCTAGCTCCATCCACGTTACTGCAAAGGACATTATCTCATTCTTTTTTATGGCTGCATAGTATTCCATGGTGTATATATACCACATTTTCTTTACCCAATCTATCATCGACAGGCATTTATGTTGATTTCAAGTCTTTGTTATTGTGAATAGTGTTGCGATGAACATAACATGTACATGTGTCTTTATAATAGAGCTGTTTATAAGGAATTCTTTCTTTAGTGATCCAAAGCACCGTTTTTTTCCCGAAAGGATTAAGCACAAGTTTAGCTGTTAGTCTGAACTTTTAACTTAGGTTAAACAACACAAACAGAAGATGTTCCAGGATGTCAGTGATATTCGCAGTGTAGACCAAGGAAATGGTTTAAGCCAGCATCTCTATGGCCAAGAGTTTCTATCTGGATAGGGAACAACCAGATGTCCACTGAGGAGTGTCTTCCCAATATCTCTTATAAGGTATGGTCTAGAGCTTGTGCCCCCGTCACATTATATGAATTTAAAGTCACGTGGACACCCTCCCAGGGGACTTCCTGAAAAGCTGCAAGAGGGTAGTTTTCCTGGGATGGGAGGAGAAGTGGGCAGAAGCAGCACTTCCTGCCCTGCCCTGGGACACCTGGGAAGCCCACGCGTGGGCGGTTAGTGCTGTCATTGCAGGGTGGTAGAGACTGGAGAGAGTTTGGAAACCACCACGGGCCCCTCAGGCTGTAACTACAGCACTGGCTGTGAGGGAGACATGCCTTCACCTGTAGGAAGACAGGCAAGGACTGTCACCAAAGCCACACAGGTGAAGAGGACCAGCTGCAGAGGCAGACACAGAGGATGGAGAGGTGTGGAGACAAACGAGATGGGAAGGAAGACTCCTCCAGATCAGTGGTGCCCAGACTTTGGGGTTTCATAGATGAGATTCCATTGAGGAAAATAAAATACAGAATTTGGGGGAGATCAGTAAAGGGTTGCCAGTTTTTTACTCTGTGAGGTGAAGAGTTTTAAGAATACCATTTAGGATCACTATCCTGTCCTAAATAAATTTTAACATTCTTCCTCCTAAGAAAAAAAAGAATATCATCTCAGAATTTCTAAGAATTTAATCCATTTTTTCTTTTTAAGAGACAGGGTCTCACTATGTCACCCAGGCTGGAGTGCAGTGGCATGATCATAGCTCACTGCAGCCTCAAACTCCTGGGCTTGAATGATCCTCCCATCTCAGCCTCCCAACTAGCTGGGACTATAGACATGTAACACCATGCCTGGCTAAGTTTTTGTTTTTTTTTTTTTTTTTTTTTTTTAGTTTAGAGATGAAGTCTTGCTATGCTGCCCAGGCTGGTCTCAAATTCCTACATCGAGCCCTATTTTTGAAAGTCACTACACTGTCATTGTTTTTATCATTTCAGGGCCACTCACAGAGGCCTCTGCCCAGCTGCCCTGGCTGGAAGGGCACACACAGGCAGGAAAAGTAAGCTGCAGCCCAGTAGGCCCTGGGCTAGCTCTCTCCTCTCTAGGCTGGTCACTCCTTCCCTGCCTGGATCTTCCTGCCATTTCCATCCCTGACTGCCTGATGGGATCCAGCACCGACACTCTCCTCTTCCTTCCACTTGCAGATTAAAACCGAAGATCTCAGTGACTCCCTGCAGCAGACCCTCTCCCATCGGCCATGCCACCTGAGTCAAGGACCTGCCATGATGTCCGGAAACCAAATGTCTGGGGTAAATGCCAGCCCATGTCAGGTAACCCTGATATTCACAGTGGGCCAGTGTGTTTAACTCAGTCCCTCTGGGAAAATGTTCAACTTCCATGCTTGGCACTCTGTGAACCCGTATCAGTCTGAAGAACCCCCTGCAGGCAATGTGGGAAAGAGATTTGGAGGCTGTGAGTGGGGCTCTAAAACAGTCCTCTTACAGGTGGAGCCTGGCTAGGGATGTGAAGAAGTAGGCCTCTACTTCTCGGGGACAAAAAGGAGCCAGGCTTGCCAAAGCCAAGGACCTAACAGCCGTGCTGCTGGTGTCTGCCAGCCACATCCAGCGGAATCCTAGGTGGACAGCTGCTGCTGGGTTAGAGAGCGTTTCTGTCCCCGGTGGGCCCACTCTGCCTCCCCTAAGGTTTTATGTTAGAGCCAAACTAGAATGGATTGCTGGTGGGGGAAGAAAGAGGCGTCTGAGCTAGTAACAGCCAAGGTCCGGGAGGGCGTTCATGTGATGAGACCTCTTGTCAGCAGGAATCACCTGGGGGAGAAAGAACCACTCCTTTCTGGAAACACATAAGAATGTGGATCCGTCCCTTCACCTTCCATTCAGCAAGGCGTCTCAGGTCTTCTCTCTGTGCACAAACCTAAGCTCAACCCCATGGGGCACAGAGCTCTGGGGTCTCCACTGCAGAGGACTCCCCGATCCCCCAAGCATCAGAATTATTAGTCCTATGTCCTGGGCTGGTAGGAGAAACCCTGGACTTTTTGTTTAACTAAATGTGTTTTATTAAGAATGAATAGCTTGTTCCACCTCACAACTCCCACCCGGACACCCTCCAGGAAAGATTCAGGCCCAGGAAACAGCCGAGGCATGGCTTTTAGCATAACCAAGTGGCATGAGATTAAAAAGGAATTGTTGGGGATTGCATGTTATCTCTAGGATAAACTCTGAGAGATGGGTCATACCCAGGCTTTGCCTTCAGGGCATTTTACAGTCTAGTTGGGAGACAGGACTGACACGTATAAAAATTAACTCAGGAGGCAAGGGTTAAATAACAATATGTCGTAAGGACTCCTAGGCTGAGGGCAGAAGCTGTAACAATACCAGCAGTAATGGAGTACCTACTATTTGCTAGACACTGGGGATACACAGTGGCATAAAGCAAGGTCAGCCTGCACAGTCTCTAAGTCTGGAGACTCCTGGGACAGATGCATGGCAGGCAGATGGGGCTGATGTCCCCAGCTTGTAAATTCTGTGATGTATGTGTATTTCTCCACGTGCAGGACATGGCTTCCCTCCATCCGCTCCAGCAGCTTGTGCTGGTTCCCGGCCACTTACAGTCTGTATCCCAGTTCCTGCTATCTCAGACCCAGCCTGGGCAACAAGGTAAGAACCCTGAGGTTTTCCACATAGACTGAGTCCAGTCAAGTGCTGCTGCTGCTGCTGCTGCTTTTTGCTGGGTGAGGGGGCCTAATTGGAGAGCATGCATTAGTCAGTCACCCATCTGCTATTAAGACCTACTTATCCACCCCAGAATCTGAGGAAGGGACCCTGGCAATGCTCCTGCAGGCTTAGTCTCCTTCTCTGCTTCCCCTTCCCAGCCTCCTCTTGGGTGGTCTGGCCCACCTCCTCAATTTCGTGGTGAGTGGAGACGGAAGGTGCAGGCGTGGAGGAGAGTTGTGCTGTACAGGGAGGGGAAGTGCCCTGGGAAATGCAGTACAGACAAGTCCCAATTCCTTGGAAATCTCTCCTGGACACAGATTCGGACTTGCTGCCTGGAAGCCTGGCTGTGATTCTATTTGGAGAGAGCAGCAGTGCCACCCACAGGTTGTAGAAAGGGTGTTCAGGTTTTCTTTGGCAGGGAAATTACCACCAGAGAACTTCTCCCTGGCCAAGAGCAAATAGATTGAACTATTAATAAATAGCTAACATTTCTTGAGCGTGATGTGCCAGGAGCTCTGCTGAGTAATTTTTCTGACATTCCTCAAAATAACCTTGTGCAGTAGGTAGTCCTATTATGCCTCTGGTGACCTACTGGGAAGTTCCAGAACTGTTTAGCTGAGACCCATACTCTTGGCCATCACACTGTGCTGCCTGTCCCACTCCCATCTCCACCAGCTAGGGTCAAAAGTGATGGAGGGTTGGCCGGGCACAGTGGCTCATGCCTGTAATCTCAGCATGTTGGGAGGAGGAGGTGGGCAGATCACTTGAGGCCAGAAGTTTGAGACCAGCCTGGCCAACATGGTAAAACTGTCTCCTCTAAAAATACAAAAATTAGCCGGGTGTGGTGGTGCAAGCCTGTAATCCCAGCTACTCGGGAGGCTGAGGCAAGAGAATCACCTGAACCTGGGAGGCAGAGGTTGCAGTGAGCCAAGATTGCACCACTGCCCTCCAGCCTGGGCGACAGAGAGAGACTCTGTCTCCGAAAAAAAAAAAAAAAAAAAAAAAGTGATTGAGGAAGCATAAACTCTCTCCTGTGGCAAATCCCAGGTAGAGGCTTTGGAAATCCAGAATCCAAACAAAATGCAACTCTGCCTTCTGCCCTTAGCTCGTGCACAAATGAGTCACTACGCTTAGTTTCCAAGGCACCTCAGAATACTATGGTGATGAATGAGACCCTATTTGAATTTTTTTTTTTTTTTTTTTTCTGAGATGGAGTCTCGCTCTGTCGCCCAGGCTAGAGTGCAGTGGCCGGATCTCAGCTCACTGTAAGCTCCACCTCCCGGGTTTACACCATTCTCCTGCCTCAGCCTCCCAAGTAGCTGGGACTACAGGCGCCCGCCACCACGCCCGGCTAGTTTTTTGTATTTTTTTAGTAGAGATGGGGTTTCACCGTGTTAGCCAGGATGGTCTCGATCTCCTGACCTCGTGATCTGCCCGTCTCGGCCTCCCAAAGTGCTGGGCTTACAGGCTTGAGCCACCGTGCCCAGCCCCTATTTGAATTTTTAATTGTTTATTTTGGCTAAACAATAAACATCATACTCCTTGAATGGAAAAGGGAAGGTAACAGTTTAATTTGTTTTCAGAAGACTGGAGAGTGACATGAAAATGACCCATGCATATAACCAACTAGGTTAGTGTATGATGCAGTGGTGGAAAGACACTTCCAAATTTGGAGTCAGAAAAATTTATTGGTTTTTCAAAAAGTCACTTACTCACTGTGTGTTTTTGGGAAACTTATCGAACCTTTCTGAGCTTCCATTTCCTCTTCTGTAAAAATGGGATAATAGCAAGATTCTTGAGATTATTGAGAGTCACTTGAAATAATGCATGTGAAAAGGCTATATCCATTTCAACTGCCATGTCAGAATTGCCATTAGTACCCAAGTCTCTCAACTCCCAGTTCAGGATTCCTTGTAAGAGATTTCTTGCCCACGTATTTTAATAATGAACAATGAAGCCCTGACTTTTTAGACTGAAAAGCATAAAGGTCAACATCAGCAGATGCTGTGCATTGTGACCCAGAACAGCCTAGGGAACACAGACACCCCAAGGCGCTGTTGAGTGACAAGCAGTTGGGGTAACCAACCCCATTGTCTGCTTTGGCGGTTTGATGGCCCCACTCCTGCTGGGAGAGTGAGCCACCAACCAGGCAGAGCCCTTCATGTGCAATTTTCCTGGGGAGGATGGAGAAGCAGGTATAATACATACTGCCCAAGGGAGTTTCCAGAGGCTCAGCCCTGAACTTTCCCTCATTTCTCAGCCCTCCCTCCCAAGTATAAAACGTCCTGGTTAGCCACATGCCTCTGGCTAAGGCCCACTGCCCTTTAGAGCTGCATGGTCGTATCTGCTTCGTCTGGCATCCTCACAGATTTGCTTGGGCCTCTGTAGCCATCCCAGCTGCTTCTCCTGCAGGGAAAGCCAAAATCCTCAGCCCCAGCTTGACTTCTCAGCAGCCACCCTGCATCCCTTCCCTTCCTGGGTTTCTTCCGCTCTGGTAATCAGATCCCAGAGTAGATCCTCTTGACCCTCCTTAGCCTCTGCACCTCTCCAGACAGGCGGGCAGGTGGAAGGACTGGTTTGGGGACTGCTGTTTACATGTCTGTTTATCCCTGTATCTGACTTGCCTCCACCTATATGTGGCAATGCCTGGCAGTGCTAGAAGGGCCTCTCCATGGGACTTGAGGTGGGTGGAGGAACCTGATCAGGTGGCAGGGGGTCGGGACAGTGATCATGGTGCCAAAGTTGTAGCACATGTCTTTCAAATAGCCTGGATTTTATTTGTCTGTTCCTTTGTCCCTCCCCTTTCACTCAGGTCTGCAGCCAAATCTCCTCCCCTTTCCACAGCAACAAAGCAGTCTCCTCCTCCCACAGACTGGGCCGGGACTGGCATCCCAGGTAAACAACTCCATTCTTCCTGTTTCCTCTAGGAATGTGTCAGCTCTCACTGAGTTTAACTCACTAGTTTCCCCCCTACCCCTTTAACAGGATACTAATCCCTCTGGGGAGAGGGGACAGCAGGGAACTGTCCGTTGGCATAGGAGAAATCCAAGCTACAGCAAGGAGGGAGGGGACAATTTACCAAGTATCACTGGTGGGGCCACAGTTAGAACCCAGAGATTCCAGCTCCCAGGCCAGCCTCCTTCATGCTCCAGGCACCGAACTCCAGCCCTGCACAGGCCCCAGCATTGCTCCTCTGAGAGCCAGGCTCAGCTAACTTCTCAGGCACACCAAGATGGCCACGAACTCTACCTAGGTGCTCTAAGGGGCCAAGGGGAAGACTAAAATACCACAGACCTGATGTTCCAGACCACAAAGCCTGTGCCTCTCACCTCTGGGCCACTGTTCCAGATTGCCTCCTGCAGTGGGCACGTATATAGGCCAGTGGGCTGAGGTCTGGGAGAGGGGTTGTTTGCAGAGTTGCCATGGTTCCACACAGCACCTTTTTTCCAACTAGGAAAAAGGCATCTCTCCTTCTGGCCAGCTGCAGTCTCATGCCAGGGTGCACAGATTGGCGACAGCAGCATGAGCTGTATCTTAGCTGCCATTCTTCTCCTGATCTGGGTGCCCCTGCACAGTTAATAACCTGCACAGCTGCATGAGATGGCTCTGCACAGATGGCTGGGCAGAATGGCTGGGAATGACTGCAGAGATCTCTGTGTTAAAAGCCGGGTGGCTCACCAAGAACCCTGCCTTCAGAGAGGGCTGAGACCACTAAAAGTACCTGGAGGGGAGGCTCGCCATCTAGTGGTTGAAATGTGGACACCAGCACCACGAGCGGCTCTTCCACCTCCTCCTGGCGTGGGTTTACAGCTGGAAGAGATCTTAGAATATTCAAGATCAACTCTCATATCTTATCATATTTTGGCACGGAGAGACTGGTAGCAGAGAGACCACACAGAAGATTATGAAGATCATCCAGGGGAGGGTCATAAAGGATTGGCTTAAGAGTTGTGGCAATAAGAAGAGGGGATGATTGAGGAGATGTTTTGGGAAGTTGAATCAGTGCAGGTTGCCAGTGGATTGGAGATGAAAGGAGGAGGGAGAAGGTCTAGCAGAGAGCCCCATAAGTCTTTGTCAAATGAAAGAACAAATAAAAGGAAGGTTCAAAGAGGACTGGGGCTTTGTCCCGAGGGTCTGGTCTATACCACACTCTCCTCACACATCCCTTCCCTGCAAAATAAGAACCAAATTCATGATGGTTTCAGACTAAAAGATCCTTCACTAGGAGAAAGACTCCTAAACTTCTCTCTGGTCCTTTTACCTTCTTCATGATAAGGATGGCTATCTGAATGGTAAACCCAAATATCCCAGAGGAGAAGAAATAATGTTAACCCTAGTATACACAAACTAAATCAAAAAGGAGAGAAGAGGTGGATTTAGCCCTCTGAGCTGGACACAGTGCCTGGACCCCGAGGCCCAGATTTCACTCTATCCTTGTGGAATGATAGATGTCTTTAAGACTGGATTCATTCCTGACCCCAAAGAGGCACAGCATGGTTCTAGGTTTAAGAGTACATTTTCCTATGAAAATAAGCTCAAGAAAGAATATCTGGCTAGGCACAGTGGCTCATGCTTGTAGTCCCAGCACTTTGGAAGGCCAAGGCAGGTAGATCGCTTGAGCCCAGGAGTTCACGACCAGCTTGGGCAACATGATGAAGCCCTGTCTCTGCAAAAACAAAAGTTAGCCAGGCAGGGTGGCACATGCCTGTATCCGCAAGCGGTTCAGGAGGCCTGCGGAAGGAAATGTGGAGCCAGGAAGTGTCGCGGTGCCGGCCCGCGTGGAACGGATTCTGAGCGTCGGGGGATGACCAGAGTGACGATTGTCTCAAAATTTAAAAATTTTGTGGAGTGAGGTGGTTGGACGGACGAGAGGAGGAGGAGGAGGAGAAGAGAATAGAGAAGAGGAGGAAGAGAGAGAGAGAGCGGAAAGGAGAAGGGAGAGGAAAAGAAGAAGAGAGAAGAAGAAGAGAGGAGGAAGAAGAAGGAGTAGGAATAGAGAAGAAGAAGAAGAAGAAGAAGAAGGAAGAGAAGAAGAAGCAAGAAGAGGAGAGGAAGCGAGAAGAAGAAGGAAGGAAGGAAGAAGAAGAAGAGAGAAGAAGGCAGAAAAGAAAGAGACGAAAGAAGAAGAAGGAGAAAGAAGAAGAAAAGAGAAGAAAGAACATGGTCCTAAGGGGTCGGCCAAATGAGTCAAGGTGCATTTTATAAAGGGTATCGATTAATAATACCTTTGGATTAAAAACAAGAACACTGTTCGTAAAAGAAAATGGCGTCGGGTTTGAAAATGTAAAATAATGCACATGAGTTTGACGATTTCAGGGAAGGGGTTCTATGAAGCGACGGGCTGGACAAGGCCGGTGGTTGGATTCTTGGATCCCTCTGCCCATGGTTAGTCTTGCGAGTTAGATGCCGTGTTCAACGGACGCGGCTCAGTTAGCGTGGCGGCTTGATACTGGGAGAATGGGAAAAAAAAAAGAAGGCCAAGCAACCTTTACTTGGGGTCGCAGGTTCTGTGATTTGTTTGCGGAATCGTGGGTAAACAACCGTGGCTAGGCTCGCTTTTGTTTATGGGTGAGGAAAGCGTGAGAGAGGAGGAAGTGGAAGCCTTGCTAAGACGTCAAACGAGGATCACAGCTAAATGCAGGCCAGCGCGTCCCTATCCTGCACTCCGATGTTTCTACCAGAGTATTCCAGTATGTTTGCCTAGTGTCATTCATAGGAAACTCAATTGCAGCTTCCAGGGCCTGCATGAAAAAAGATAGGAGTAAATCGATACCAGGTGTGACGTGCCGCAGGGATCGGTGTCGATGCCGTCGTAAGTGGGCCTCATTAGTAGCAAAAAAAAAGAAAAAATCAAAATGTCTTTTTGTCTTGTGTGGGTGATCTGCTGGGTGTTTCCTATCAGGCGAGTTGGGCGCACCTGGGCTGCAGATTCCTGCTTTGAACCCCACCTGGAAGGCGATCCCCAGAGCACTCTCCCAGTGTCCAAGCGAGTCTACCAGCTCTGGGCGATGAGGCCAGTGATTTGGAAGGAACTGAGAGACAGCTGTTGCCGCCAAGACCTTCAAGCAGAGGCGCATTAAGCTGGGCTTCACACAGGTTTGGTTTTAGGGGAAAAGATAGAAGAAATTGAGCTGAGCGGCTGGAGACTGGGCTTCCCAAGTGCAGGTTTCAAGAGCGACCAGAGGCTCGATGTGTTTGGGGCCAGCTCATCGTGTCCCTGAGTTCTCTGAGAATAGGGCACAGTCGCCATTGGTAGGGAAATTGAGGACGTTGCTGGTGGAGGAGAATGAGAGGTGGAAAAGGGGCTGGCTCTCCCGAGCACATGGGCATGGTCCACTCAGAGTCTAAGGAGAGAAAGAAACCGATTCTTCACCTTAGAGGGAGGAGACTTGGAAAGCAGCTGAGCATGGGTGAGCACTCGAAGGTTCAGGCTGGCTGTGTGATTGATGCTAGGGCCATGCAGGATGTGGGCAGACAAGAGGAGGAGGCCGCCTCTCACGTTCCTCCCCCTCGGTCCCCACGCTTAGGGAGATGTGGGGCTGGCGATGGGAAAGCTGTATGGCAACGACTTCAGCCAGACCACCATCTCACGATTTGAGGCCCTCAACCTGAGCTTCAAGAACATGTGCAAGCTCAAGCCCCTGCTGGAGAAGTGGCTGAATGATGCAGGTAGGCCTCACAAACACGGATGCCAGGGGCCCTGGAGGGCTCTGCAGGGAAGGGCCAGTGACTTGTCATGTTGGGGCTTTTGGGAGTTGATACCTAACACCCCTTTCTTCTCCTGAGACTGGAGCCGATGGAGAAACAAGACACAGGGCACAGGCAAGTGTAGATGAAAGTGTCAGCTTGACTATTGAGAAGCCCTCAGAAGGATGTGGATGTAGGTCTGTGTCCATCAGGATTTGCCCCCATTCAATTCCTACCCCATCCCACCCAGTGTAGACCTTAGAACAACGTGCCAGCGACAAAGTCTGGGTCTGCAGAGCAGACACACTTATGCAGATTGCTGTCTGGAATAAGTCTAGGTCAGGGAAACAGCAATGGAGCCTCTAGGGTCTCACTGGGAGGTGGAGACCACAGGCATGACACAGGGTCTTTCCCTGGCTAGTTCTCCAGTAGGTTTTCAGCAGACAGGGACTTACTGCAACCCAGGTTGGTCAGGAAAGCCTGACAGCAGGAGTGGGGTTTGTGGGAGAACTCAGTGAGGGGTGGTGGCTGGGAGGCATCCCAGGAGATCAAGGGTATAAGCCAAGGGACCACACGTTTGGAATAATGAGCGGAAGAGTATGGCAGCAGGGACTAGCATAAGGTGGGGCTTCTCAACCTTGGCACTATGGACATCCTGGGCCAGGTCATTCTTGTTGCCAGGGACTGGCCTATGCATTGCAGGATGTTTTGAGCATCCCTGGTCCCTACCCATTAGTTGCCAGTAGCATCCACCCCCAGTTGAAACAGCCAAGAATCTCTCCAGACATTGCCAAATGTCCCAGGGGGAGTGGTGGTGATGCGGAGTCCCCCCCGGTTGAGAACCGCCAGCCTAGGCAGAGAGAGGGAATGAGCCAGTCTCCAGGGCTGGGCTCTATTCAGTAGATTCACGTGGATTGGTGGTTACACTGGAGAGGGAGGAAAGGGTGGGGCAGCCAGCCAGGGCTGTTACTCCCACGGAAGGGCCTCTACACACAAGCATGGGAGGGGGCAGGAAGTTCCCCCCACAGGCTGCCCCTTAGACAGCCTTTATGGAAGCACTGAAACGAGCAAAATGATCCGAAGGTCTTCGAATCTCTGGAGAAGGGCCCTGTGACCATTTCTAGTCCTCATCAGATGCCTGAATCCTTCCTCGGGGATATCCCTCCTATGGCCCCTACAGCCTTAGCTCAAACATTGGCACTGGCACGAAAATGCCTCCAACACCAACAGTCTGCCACAAAGTGCCATTGCTTTTGGCTCCAAATCCCATTTCACATTTCGCTCAGTATTCACATCCAGGCATATCTGTAAACAGCAGCCTCATCAGTGTTACTCATAGGAGTCCTGCCAGTGTCCACTTACACCCACATGTGCCACCGATGCCTGGGCATCCCTCAGCCATGACCCCAAACACTGGAGACACTGCTGTGGGGGCCTCAGAGGGCCACGGAGGGTCACGGAGGGCCACAGAAGGCCATGGGGGGCAATGGAGGGCCACGAAGGGCCTTTGCCCTGCGCAACGAAAAGAAGTGGGATTCTTGGTCTGTTCTGGACTCCCTGCTGGGGGAGGGGATTGCCCCTGAAAATGCCACTGCAGAGCCCATCGGGAAGGGTTGTTGGACCTCAAATCCATGAAGGCACCAGCCACTCATCCCCTTCTCTGAGCTTCCTCTGCTCCTTCGTGTCCCCGCAGAGTCCTCTCCATCAGACCCCTCAGTGAGCACGCCCAGCTCCTACCCCAGCCTCAGTGAAGTATTTGGAAGGAAGAGAAAGAAACGGACCAGCATCGAGACCAACATCCGCCTGACTCTGGAGAAGAGGTTTCAAGATGTGAGCAGCACCTTCGGGTGGGCATGGGTGGGCTGCCTCATACAGGTAGGGGGAGCGACACGGCACAGGCCGCTTGGCACCAGCCCCTCAGCACCTCAGACCTGCCCTGGGACACAATCAGAAAGCACATTATCCCACTCCAGGCCCCCAGGTATAGGAGTGCAGAGCTGCTCGCCATCTCAGGTTCCAGGAACCTCCCCTCCACTGACCCTTCTTGCCCTGACATCTATTTAGGACTCTGTTTTTCTCACCGGGAGATTTAAAGAACGGGCTATAGTGTGTCTCCGTATCCAGCTGAAGTAAAGGGAGTAAAGTCAGGGGATTGTATATAAGTTCTCTATTTTCTGTGCAGTACATTTTATGTTTTTCAAATTATAAATATAATAAATGCTTATTGTAAGCAATTTGGAAAGTACAAGGAAGTAGAAAGAAAAAGAATATTCATCACCAAATGCCATCTGACCTCATTTCCTTCTACTCTTCTTTTCTGTGTACATTTAAATACTTGTCATCATGTTATACACCTACATTTTTTGGAACTTGTAGCAAAAGCATATTTTTGAGCCAGTGGAAGCTGTGAGCCCTGTGCAAGCTGAGAAACAGATGTGGCCTAACCAGCACCTAGCCAGGCTCCGTTAGATCCCAGCCTCCAGAGCCGCCATGGGTACCACACATCTCCAAAGGCCCCAGGCCTCCAGGACTGCTGTCCCTCCGGCAGATTCCTCACATATGTGGCTCAAAGATTTGGTGCCCACATCCAGCTAGCCGAATGACAACAACTGGCTTCTCCTTCTTTTTAGGCTTCCTAGAGTGGCAAGGTTAAGGGAGGGTGTAGGAGTGGGGGAAAGTGGCCGGGGCTAGAGACCAGGTGCGAGGGACCAGAACAAGGGAGTGGCACCCATGTAGCATGTATTGCTGTGCCACAGTCCTGATGGGTCCATGTGTTTTAGCTTTCTCATTTCCTGCTTTGAGGCAGGAGGACAGGAAGAAATGACAAGGCAGGCCAGGCGGTGGTGACTCATGCCTGTAATCCCAGCACTTTGGGAGGCCGAGGCAGGTGGATCACCTGAGGTCAGGCATTCAAGACCAGCCTGCCCAACATGGTGAAACCCCATCTCTACTTAAAATACAAAAATTAGCTGGGCGTGGTGGCGCATGACTGTAATCCCAGCTACTCGGGAGGCTGAAGCAGAGAGAAATGCTTGAACCTGGGAGGTGGAGGTTGCAGTGAGCAGAGATCATGCCACTGCACTCCAGCCTGGGCAACAGAGCGAGACTCCGTCTCAAAAAAAACAAAAAAAAGAAATGACAGGGAGAAGGACATCAGATTATCAGATTATAAGGAAGAACACAGAAGGGAGCAGCAGCTCTGGGGACTCTGCCTGCCCCACGTAACTCATGCATGGGCTCCTCTCCTCCGAACTCATGAACAAAGGAAAGACAGCCTACATCTATGGAAACCCTACTTTGTGTCAGGCCCTGTGCTTGGCAGTTTACACACATTTTCTCATTTAATTCCCACAATAATCCTATGTGGTGGGCATGATTATTCTCATTTCATAGATGATAAGACAGGCTCAGAGAGGTTAAGAAAGTTTCCTAAGGACATATAGTAAGTGAAAAAGCCAGTATTTCATCCTAGGTCTGACTCTAAAGCTTTTGATCCATGTATAGTTGTATCCTGTTTCTTTGAGACCTCTGTTCCCCACCCCTGGTTCCCTTTTCTTGACCATACTCTGTCCTTTCGGTCCCTATAGAACCCAAAACCCAGCTCGGAGGAGATCTCCATGATTGCAGAGCAGTTGTCCATGGAGAAGGAGGTGGTGAGAGTCTGGTTCTGCAACCGACGCCAAAAGGAGAAGCGAATCAACTGCCCTGTGGCCACACCCATCAAACCACCTGTCTACAATTCCCGGCTGGTGAGTGGCCAGGAACCAAGCTGTCTGCCAAGAACTGGAGGGACATGATGCTTGGAGGGGAAAGTGGTGGCTGCAGGGAAGAAGGGGAGCATCCAGTAAATAAATAAGCAAAGAGATGCTGTATAGAATATAGTATAAAGAACACTAAAGAAGGGCGAGGGAATAGAAGGGGATAGCGGGGAGATGCTCTTTCAATAGGGAGGTCAGAGAGGATCTCCCTGATAAGGGTGTGTGAACAGAGACCTAGAGTTGTCAGGGAATTAAATATGTGGATATCTGGGGGAAAGAATGTTCTAGGCAGAGGGCCTAGCAAGTGAAAAGATCCAGTATGCTTAAGAAACAGCAAGGCAACCAGTGTGGCTGGGGACAGAATGAGAAAGGGGACCAAAAGTAGGAGAGGAAGTCAGAGAAGAAACAAGAAGCAGAGCGCCCAAGGTCTTGGAGGCCATTGAAAGGCCCTGGCTTTCAGTTTGGGTAAAATGAGAAGCCATTGGAGAGCTCTAGCCAGAGAAGGCTGAGCTGGCTAACACGGGCTGCTATGTGGGGAATCATCTGTGTGGAAGCTGGAGACCAGTTAGGAGAATGACAGTGGTCAGGCTGTGTGATGGAGGCTTGGCCTAGGGTGGTGGCCAAGGAGGTGAGGAGAAGCAGTTGCATTCTGGCTAGACTTTGACGGTGGAGCAGCATGATGTGCTCAGATACGGAATACAAGAAAGGAAGCAAAGATGATTAAAAGGGTTTTGGCCTGAGCAGTGCATTGGAAAGCACTGCCATTTTTTTGAGATGATGAAAACTGCAGGAAGAGCAAGTTCAAGGAAAAAAGCTAAGAATTTGGGGCTGGTCATATTAAGTTGGACATACCTACAAGGCATCCGAGAGTAAGTATGAAGGAGTTATATCTGTGACTCTGGAGTTCAAGGGAGAAGCCAGGGCTGGGAACAACTTGAAGTTCTAGGCAGACTATGAAGTTTAGGGGGCAGGAAATATCTTTTCCATGCAGGGAGAAATGGTACCTGGAGGGTGGGGGTGGGAAGCTTCTTCTCTGGGGATGATGATGGTTGAAGGTTAAGGGAGTTGGGGAGAACGATGCTGCCGTTCAGTCTTTCAGCACTGTAAGATGGGTGAAATGCAGCCTTGTCAGGGAGGGACACAGCTGTTTCCCCAAAACTACACCATTGTTGATTCTTTCACCAACCAGCTACCGACTACCTTCTATATATTGTGCCAAGTGCTGGGGATACAAAGATAAATATTGTTTGTTCCCTGTCCCAGAGGGCCTCACTGCCTAGCAGAGGAACAGGTAAATAAACGAATGGAAAACAGCACGATCATTTCTTCAGGAGAACTTAGGAGCGGCAGCTAACCAGCCTTGGGAGCTGGTGTTTAGGACAGGCTTCCCCAAGGAGATAATTAATACCTGAGCTGAGTCTAAAGGACGAAGAGGAATGAGAGGCAAATAAATGTGGGTGGAGCTCTCCCAGGGGCAGGGACAGTGTGGCAAGCTCACAGAACTGCAAGTGGACGAGTGTTGAAAGATGAGGTTGGACAGATCAGAAGGGCCAGACTGTGCAGGGATTGTCCACAATGCTAAGGAACTGAAGGTTTGGGGGAATCACTGAAGGATTTTCACAGGATATTGGCATGATCGTTTCTCTTTTTTGATCACTCCGACTGCAGGATAAAGGATGGCTTGAGAGGCCCAAGATGGGTTTCAGGGAGGCCAGTTAGGATGGGACTGCAGGTAGCCAGTAGAGAAAGACTAAGGGCAAAACAACCCCAGGAGGGAGGAAAGATGAGGGTGGGAGGGATTCCAGAAATCATTAGAAGGTCTTGGTTAATGAATGGAAAGCTGGATGGGGGCAGGGAGAAGAAAAGGGGATCCTCTGCGATGACTCTTGGCGTTCAGGCTGGGCTGACTGGGTAGATGGTATTGCCATTTACGGAACAAGCAAACCAGGAGGAGATGGCTTGGGAGTGGCAAGAAGTGATGATTTCAGTTCTCATGTCATCATGATGTACAGCGAGGCTGCAGGACACCCATGTGGGAATGTCTTTGGGCACTTGAGATTATGGGCCTGGAAGTGAGACTGGAAGGCTGGGATGGAGACATGGACTAGGGAGTCACAAATGTGCAGGTGGTGGTTGAAATCCTGGGTGAGGAGGAACTCACCTATGGAGTTTATGTAGCGGAAGCAAAGAGCAAAGACCTTGCCACCAGCTTTTGCGAGATGGGCAAAGGAAGAGCATCAGGGAAGAAACTGAAAAGGAGGGACCAGAAAAGGCAAGAAACTACAACCAAGTAGATGTGAGGAGTGTTGGGCAGGAATGAGCCCCATAGGAGTGCCCTGGGAACCAAGAGGAAAGACGCCCAAATCAGAATGGGGCCCGGGAGGGTGAATATCTAATTTGTTTGGAGAACAGATTAGTAATTAGCAAGAGTAGTGTACAAGGCAGAAGGAACAGCCTGTGAGAAGGCATGGAATTTTTTTATTTTTTATTTATTTTTATTATTTTTATTTTTCTGAGATAGAGTTTTGCTCTTTTTGCCCAGGCTGGAGTGCAATGGTGCGATCTAGGCTCACTGCAACCTCCACCTCCTGGGTTCAAGTAATTCTCCTGCCTCAGCCTCCTGAGTAGCTGGGATTACATGCACCCACCACCAAGCCTGGCTAATTTTGTATGTTTAGTAGAGACGGGGTTTCACCGTGTTGGCCAGGCTGGTCTCAAACTCCTGACCTCAGTGATCTGCCCGCCTTGGCTTCCCAAAGTGCTAGGATTACAGGTGTGAGCCACCGCGCCCAGCCTGAAGGCATGGAATTATAAAACAACATGATGCATTTGGGAAATCACAAGCATTTCAGTCTGGCTAGAGCAAGGGGTTCATGATTAAAATTAGAGGGGCTGATGAGTGTGGGATCATAATGGGCCATGGATGCTGAAGTACCCTAAACTCTGTAAGGGATCATTGAACATGCTAAGTTGGAGGCAAGATGATATTCACTCATTATTTCTTCCTTAAGCATTCACTGAGCACCTACTATATGTTTGGTACTGGGGCTCCAGTGGTGAACAGCACACGTGATCCCTGCTCACAGTGTAGCAGAAAAACAGATACTAAACAAATGCTATTTGTGATGAAGGCTTAAGAGAAGAGGTACAGGTATATGAGGTGCCTAACCTAGTCCAGAGTGTCAGGAGCTTCTCTGAGGAATGATGTTTACACTGACACCAGAAGAATGAATGTCACCATTGATATTAACAGGGAAAGTGTCTGAGCTGGGGAGGCAGGGAGGAGTGAGGGGAGGGAAGAATATTCTAGGTAGAGGAAATAGCATGTACAAAGGTTCTCAGGTTGGTGGCGGGGTGGGGTAGGCGGAAAGAAGCATAGAAGGCCAGAATGGGCTGGACACCAGGCAGTGCGGGTGTGAATGAGGAGGCTGGAATGGTAGGCAGGGGCTGGATTATGTCGGGCATTGTAGGCCTTGTTAGGAAACTTGGGTCATGTCATAGGAACTTTGGAATCTTGCAAGATTGGACTTTATTTAGAGCAGATGAGAAGTAGTAGGTTCTCCCTTTGGTTCAATACCAACCCAGGACATCAACATGATGAGAAATGGAGGGGGCCGAGGGAGCCAAGCAGGGCCCCGTTCCTCATCAGCTTTCATTCAACACATATTTACTGAGCAGCTGTAACGTTCCAGGGACCATAGAAAGCACTGGGGGTGTGGCAGTGAACCACACAGGCGTTACCCTGCTCTCTTGAAGTCTACAGCCTAATGGCAGTGAAGGACATTAAATAAATAGTTACACTAACACTGGTGATGTCATGAAGGGAAAGGAGAGAGAACATTTTCTGATCCTATCTTTAGGTCTCATTGAGACAGTCCCTTGGGACTAGGACATAGTTTCTTCTGCTTCTGGAATAAAATGATTAGCAGGTGGGAAGGCAAAATGGTGCAGATCAGTGTGGGCAGAATGCTACAATATATCTAGAAAATAAAAAAGGGGGAACCATATATATGTCTGTTTGCATATGCCTAGCCTGTTTCCAGAAGGAAACAAGTTGGCCGCAATGACCAAATACATTATCATTTATTTAAAAACAACAACAAAGCCAGGCGCGGTGGCTCACGCCTGTAATCCCAGCACTTTGGGAGGCCAAGGTGGGTGGACCACCTGAGGTTAGGAGTTCAAGACCAGCCTGGCCAACATGACAAAACTCTGTCTCTACTAAAAATACAAAAATTAGCTGGGCGTGGTGGCGGGTGCCTGTAATCCCAGCTACTTGGGAGGCTGAGACAGAAGAATCACTTGAACCCAGGAGGCAGAGGTTGCAGTGAACCGTGCGTGATAGCACCACTACACTCCAGCCTGGGTGACAGAGAGAGACTCCATCTCAAACCAACAAGAACAACCACAACAACAACAACAACAACATATGTCTTGGGTGTGACAGCAGGGAGAGGAGGAGAAGAGGTAGGGAGATTATTGATAACATCTCTTACCACTCTGCCACCCCTCCCAACCTGTGCCCCACACCCGTCTCCACCCTTCACAGGCCCCCAGCTTACTGAGGAGGCTCATTGTGTAAGGAAAAGTAAATGAAAACAGGGAAACCATTTCTGATTAATGAGGAAATAAGTACATGCTGCATCATGTTAGGATGGGATCTTCCAAAGTGGAGAAAGCAGAACTACCTTTCAATAGCCTTTGCAAACACCTGGTCACAGATTCCCCTGTTACCATGAGAAGAATAAGGGGCAGTGAAAATACACAGATTTTAGCTCAAAAGAAGAGTTGAATAATATCTAGAAATATACAGCAGTTGACAGCTTCTTCCTCCAGAAAGGGAGAGAACTAGCGTTTAACAAGCTGGGACATTCTTTGCCAGCTGTTGGGTTGGAAGATTTACAGACATTATCTCATTATGTCTTAATTAAAATATATAATGGAAGTATTGCTGCTATTTTACAGATGAGAAAACCAAATCTCAGTGGGGTTAGATAACTTGCCCAAAGTCACACAGATAGTGGTGGAATTGTCTTACTCCCAGACCTGTTGGGCTCCAAAGTCTATTCTTTCTATAACATCTTGTTCTAGGATAGTAACAGTGAGGAGGAGGGTCCTGAATTACATGGGAGGGTAAACAAAATTATCCCAGGTCCCTTTCTAATCTCAGAGCTGATGATGCTATGAGGTCTCCAGGGCAAAATAAAAATCTTCGGAGACCAAAGTTCAGTACCTCCGGTTACCTCTGCAGAGTCCATGCTCCATTCATCTATCAGAGTGGGAAAGCCCGAAAGAGGCTGCTAGGCTGAGCAACCCTGCTGTCCTAAGCAAAAGCAGGGTTCTTTTAGGGAAAAAGCAATGGAGACCAGAAAACAGCAGGCAACCAGCAGTATCTGCCACTGCAGGGCCCAGGAGGCTTGTCTTGCTCACCTCCGGGGCTCTCAGGCAAGGCAGCCTTCGGCTTGGCAGTGCCAAAGAAACTTTATCAGGCAATACACATTGTCAGGGGCTGTCGACACCAGGGAACTTCCGGAGCAGACTGGACCTGGTTCTGGATGCCAGTATGTGGTCCAGAGGCCTTCCCATAGAAAGGAGGATGGCGCGTAGGTTTGGGGCTAGGAAATAACCAAGGAAGCCAAGCTCTTGGTCTCTGTAGAGTCTGGGACCTACTGTCTTTGGAGAATGGTCTGAAGTTGGAGAAGGGAGCAGAAATGGACATTTACAAGCTTCTGTTGTTTTTCAGGTATCTCCCTCAGGGTCTCTGGGTCCCCTCTCTGTCCCTCCCGTCCACAGTACCATGCCTGGAACAGGTGAGCTTTAAAATGAGATTTCTGAATAACACCAGAATTCTTTTAAAACATGGGATGTTAGAACTGAAAGGTATCTACCTAAGTCAGGATCCCTTAAATGCATTTCAAAGGATATTAAAATCTGTGTTGGGAAAAAAGGGTTCTATGATCAAGTAAATTTGGAAAATGCTGAGTATGCACAGTTTAAACAAGCGTATTTTTTTGTTGTTGTTGTTTTGTTTTGTTCTAACTGCAGCACTTCTAAGCACTCAGGTGCATAACATTCCAAAATGAACTGTATGGAAGGCCCAAGGAAGGCAAGGCTTCCTAAAGTATACTCTATTCCTCAAAAAGTACCTGATTATTTCAAAGAACTAGACAGGATGATCACATGCCCAGGGTGGCCAGGATAGTCCCAGTGTCTGCTTCATGTCCTGAAATAATTATCAATAGTACTTCCTTCCACTTTTCTTTTTTTTTTTTTAATCTTTATCTTTTTTTTCGAGACAGAGTTTCACTCTTGTTGCTCAGGCTGGAGTGCAATGGCGCAATCTCAGCTCACTGCAACCTCTGCCTCTTGGGTTCAAGCGATTCTCCTGCCTCAGCCTCCCCAGTAGCTGGGATTACAGGAATACACCACCACACTCAGCTAATTTTTTGTATTTTTAGTAGAGACAGGGTTTCTCCATGTTGGTCAGGCTGGTCTTGAACTCCTGACCTCCGGTGATCCACCTGCCTCGGCCTCCCAAAGTGCTGGGATTACAGGAGTGAGCCACTGCACTCGGCCCCCTCCACTTTTCAAAGTGTCTTAGGGTCTTAGTTTGGATAATAAAATATATGCCACCCTATTCATAGAACACAGTTTGGGAAACACAAACACAAGAGTTAATCCAAATACAAAATCTGCCATTTCACAGAGGATGAAAATGAGTTTCAGGAAGGTGAAACAAATCAGCAGCCACAGAGCTGCTGAGTGGATGGCCAGGGACCAAGACAGGGCTGAGGTCCCCTCACTCCCAGTTCATTGCTCTTTTTGTTTTTGTTTTGTTTTGTTTTTTGAGACAGGGTCTTGCTCTGTTGCCCAAGCAATGCGGTGACACAATCATGGCTCACTGCAACCTCGAACTCCCGGGCTCAAGTGATCCTCCCGCCTCAGCCTCCTGAGTAGCTGAGACTACAGGTGCATGTCATCACACCTGGCGAATTTTTGTATTTTTTGTAGAGACTGGGTTTCGCCATGTTGCCCAGGTTGGTTTTGAACTCCTGGGCTTAATCGGCCCTCCTGCCTCGGCCTCCCAAAAGTGTTGGGCTTACAGGCATGAGCCATGAGCTCAGTTCATTACTCTAGTTTCTAGAAAACCATGCACCTTTTCTTGGTGGAGTCAGGAGAACTAGAGCAGCTGGCAATCTTTCATGGTGGCCTCAAGTTCTCTTTCTCCCCTATGCACTGCCTTTCTTTCCTCCTCTCTTCCTTCTTGTTGTTTTTCTCCTCCCGCCTCTCGGTCCGGGGCTGCATGTGCCCAGCCTTGGGTGTGTCCCAGAGTGGGATGATTTTGGCATCTGTCCTTGCATTTGGCAAGTCTTAGACTTGCAGAACCAGCCACACCACTCTCCAGGGCCTGGGCTGTAGAGAGCATTTGGATGAGAGCCCCTCTGGGTGTGGGCAGAAGTTGATGCTAATGAGGCAGGAGGTAGTCAGGTGGGTGTGGGTAGGGAGAGGGTGAGGTCCCTTTGGGGTTACACCAGGAAATTTGTGTCTGAGGGGCTATGTCCCAATGTCCCGGGATCCAGCAGTATTATTTTCCCCTTGTTTTTGCCTCTCCTTATCCTCAGTAACGTCATCCTGTTCCCCTGGGAACAACAGCAGGCCTTCATCTCCTGGCTCAGGACTCCACGCCAGCAGCCCCACTGCATCTCAAAATAACTCCAAAGCATCAGTGAACTCCGCCTCCAGTTTTAACTCTTCAGGGTAAGGTGGAGGGGAGGGTGCAGAGACATCCCAGCAGGGCCAAGGGACATGTGAGAAGCTGGGCCCATGCCTTGGGAAAGAAAGTTTGTCATAGATAGGATTGGAAAAGAGGAATGGGGTGGTAGAGAGAGGACAGAGCGACAGCCAGACTGGACTTTATCCCTAGGGAGCAGGGATTTTAAAAAGAAGCTTCAGTCAGTGAGCCATCCTGGCAAGGAGCTGATGTCAACAAAGCCAAAATTTCCATCCTTACTTTGAGGGTGGAAATTTCCAAACACTCATGTCAGAAAGGGCCAGGTCCTTTGCTGGGCTTCATGCGAGGAACCCAGTTTTCAGGAGGTTCTGATGTGAGCCTAGAGCTTAGGCACAAAGAAAACCCTGGGCTTCAAGCATGGCTGACACAGGGAGAGAGGGAAGTGGTGCCAATTCCTGTCCCCCACTCCCACCTGGGATGCAGTGAGGAAGGCAGCCTCCTAGGCTTCAGTTCATGAGGCAAAGAATCTGCTCTAAAAAGTGTTCTCAGCCGGGCGCGGTGGCTCAAGCCTGTAATCCCAGCACTTTGGGAGGCCGAGACGGGCAGATCATGAGGTCAGGAGATCGAGACCATCCTGGCTAACACGGTGAAACCCCGTCTCTACTAAAAAATACAAAAAAGTAGCCGGGCGAGGTGGCGGGCGCCTGTAGTCCCAGCTATTCGGGAGGCTGAGGCAGGAGAATGGCGTAAACCCGGGAGGCGGAGCTTGCAGTGAGCTGAGATCCGGCCACTGCACTCCAGCCTGGGCGACAGAGCGAGACTCCGTCTCAAAAAAAAAAAAAAAAAAAAAAGTGTTCTCAGAGCTGATGCCTTGTGAGAGAGAGAGAGATTCTGCCTTGATTCAGAACAAAACAGAGATGTGGTAGGTTATAGACCTAAGTTCGCCAGAAAAGATGAACCCACCTGTCCAAATCCAGGCAGTTCAGCAAGGCAGCCAGCTCTTATTGGCCAATTGTTGCATAGCCCGAAACATTGGAGCTCCTCACCTATCCCTACTGAGACAGAGGGAGAGAGAACCATATAATATACATTACTAGCTTTAAAAAATTGCTTCGAGGTATAATTCATATACCAGAAAATTCACCATTTTAAAGTGTACAGTACAGTGGTTTTCAGTATATTCACAAGGTTGTGCAACCATCAGCATTATCTAATTCCAGTATGTTTTTATTACCCCTCCCCCCAAAAACCCCTATACCTGCTAATAGTCACTCCCCATTCCCATCTTACGCCATCACATTACTAGCTTTAGGATTGACTTCTTTCTTCCTTCCAGATCTTGGTACCGATGGAATCATCCCACCTACCTCCACTGAGACCAAAAAGTTTCTCCGACTCCACCGGGCCCTGTATTCCGCCTGGAAGGAAGGGAATCATGCCTTCTATATACAGACAGATTGCTTTCCGAAGAGTGCAAGAAAATCCCCACTATCAATGAATCCAGACTCTTGCCTTCTTCAGGAGCAAGGGCCTCCGGAGATCCAAACTGTGATTGAACCAAGTGCAGACTCCCAATGCTCTTGAAATATATAGCCCCTCCTAGGAGCTTACCGTTTTCACCTTCCTTGCCTATGCCCTTGCCTTCTAGTTCCAAGTATTTTAGTCAGCTTCACTGTGGCAATGGTCTTTCAGAGAAAAGACTCCTTGCTGTTAATCTCCAACTCATCTGTGGGCTTCTGGGGACAACCATTTGGCTGGAGTGCCAAACACCGGAAGCGGAGATAATAGTTTTGACTCTGAACTTGGCCACAATCCCTGAACTGATCCCAAAATCTGTGAAAAGATTTGAATCTGATATCTCCACCAAAGCCTTGATGTTTTCTCTGTACAGCTAAGTTTTTTGACGGAATCTTCATCTCACCCCATTTTCTTTTTAACCTCGCCCCCTTTTCTACAACCAAATCCGTTCATTATTGTGCCCTTCAGGTCCCCTCCTTTTTGCAGAAGGCGTAAAAGAGCTGCCCTTGGTGGGTGCTCTGGGCATGTTGCGCTGCCCACCGGTGCCCTTCTGTCTGTCCATGTCTGCCTAGGGCTCAGGAGTGCCTGTTCTTTCCCTCCCTCTCTGTGTTTCTCTTTATCCTGTCCCCTCTCCTTTCTCCTGGTGGCAGAAAAGGAAGAATACAAGAGCAAACACACAATAATGACGGTGGCAAAGTACCTGTATATAGCCCTTTCCCATTTTTTGCATTATGTTCTTAACTCCTTAATGTGGAATTTTCCAGCAAAACGTTTAACTCAGGTGTGATTTTTGAAAATGTCTCTGTAATATTTTATCTTCTTTAAAAAAAGCGGGGGGGAAATACCAAAGTGTGAAATACTGTGCTAGCTTCCAGAGTTCCCACATGGGCTGGGAACTTTTTTTTTTTTTTTTTTTGAGACAGAGTCTCGCTCCCACCCAGACTGGAGTGTAGTGGTGTGATCTCTGCTCACTGCAAACTCTGCCTCCTGGGTTCAAGTGATTCTCCTGCCTCAGCCTCCCAAGTAGCTGGGATTACAGGCGCCCACCACCATGCCTAGCTAATTTTTGTATTTTTAGTAGAGATGGGGTTTCACCATGTTGGTCAGGCTGGTCTTGAACTCCTGACCTCCTGATCTACCCACTTTGGCCTCCCAAAGTGCTGGGATTATAGGTGTGAGCCACCATGCCCTGCCTGGTCTGGGAATCTTTGTTAACTTCTTTGGGAACATTATCTCTAGAGTCTCCTTTTTTGTGGGCCAGTGTGTAGAGATGTAACATGAAGCCATTCCAGAAATGGCAACTTAATAAAAAAGAAAAAAAAAAGACAGCATATCTAGGAAACTGTTGAGATTCAAAGGAATCTCACTGTTCCTAAATAAATGTGTATAATGATTATGAAAAGTATTCCACTGTTGATAAGAAGAGGTTTAGATTCTTGTTCTGTGCCTTTATGTCATTGTGGGGGGCATGTGAGTGCATAGAATGAAACGGAATGGCAGAAAATGTTCCAAATTGGGACATTAAGTGTATTACTTCCCAAACTGATGCTAAAGATGACACACATTATTACAGGGCCCTGAAGAATTCAGAGTTGTTACTCTCTGTAACAGAACTACCTTGAGGGCAGAGTAGGCAAGAGATTATTGTAAGTGGGAGGATGGTGAATGTTTAAGGTAAAGTCATTTGAACACTTAAGCGGTGGGGATTGAGGCTGATGTCTCATGTTTCAGATACCTTCAATGGCAATTATCCATTACTCATAACATAAAGCAATAAATAGCTAAGGCAGAGGATAATTTAATAATCACATATTAGCCAGGCTTGGTGGTGCACACCTATAGTCACAGCTACTGGAGAGCCTGAGATGGGAGGATCTATTGAGCCCAGGAAGTCAAGGCTGCAGTGAGCCATGATCATGCTGCTGCTGCACTCCAGCCTGAACAACAGAGTGAGACCCTGTCTCAAATATACATATTTGTCTCATATATATATATATTATATATATGTATGTGTATGTATATGGCTTCAGAATGCATTGTGACTTTTGGTGAGGAGGTTGAAAGGCAATGAACCTATTCTTGTGGTTTTTCTTAGATTAATACAAATTTAAATAGTTACCGTTGGAGCTTGCAGTGGGCCAAGATTGTGCCACTGCACTCCAGCCCAGGCGACAGAGCGAGACTCCATCTCAAAAAACAAAATAAATAATAAATAGTTACCGTTGCTGAGGTAAACGCTGACCTGTGGGAAAGAGAGGCCCTTCAAAAATGTAATGACTGATAGGGAAAAACTATTGGGATTAAACGCTTGTTGCAAATAATAATATCCACACAGGAAATCTAAATATTCATAATCAAGAGTTAACCGCTCCCTGATGTTTGAATGGGGCTTTAAAAATTCCTATTTCATGTCATGAAGTGGCAGAAGGCCTACTGGTAATGTTTCCTTTCTCAAGAAAAGATCTAGTTTAAAGGGGCCGGGTATGTAGCAGAAAGACAGCAAGAGGAGCCTTCGGCAGTACTTTAAGTACATACACATGCACGTGTGCATTCCTCCCTGTACGCTCACGGATGCCAGAGCCGACCCTTTTCTACAGAAGTCCTGGCTGCCTTGACATCCTGCTCAGGTGAGTGCTAAAAGCTGATCCTCTGCATTGTCCAAAACTTGGATTTTCATCCATTTGCCCTTGATTTCTTATGAAAGAAATAAACAGAATTGTAGCCTGTTCAGACTCCAGTAGCTTTCCTTGCCAATTGACTTGGACATTGCTGAGCAGAATCAAGCCTGAAAGTGAGCAGGGTCACCTTTCATGTCTGCATGATTCTGTAAAATCTGTAATTCCAGGGAAGTTTAACTGAAGCTTGGTTCGCCGCCTCAGCATCTAACTAGGGACAAGAGAATCTAACAGAGACCACCAGTCATTGCCAAAGGAGAAATAAAAAAGATTGTTGCTGCTGCATTTCAAATTGTATTTCATACTCTAATGTTTAGTTGACTCAAAACGGGTGGGCCCAGCTGTGCGCCCCTGAGACAAAGTAAGGACTTTTGGTCTGACTCAGAGACTGAGTTTATTAACCCCAGGACTCAAAGCAGGAACCCTGGCCGGAGCTCCCAGGTTGCCAGGGCTCCTCATGTGCTCTGAGTGCCCCCACCATAGCTCACTTACTGACTCTTCTGCCTCTTCCTTGTGTGGGGGGACCTCCTTGCAGTTGAGGCTTTTTTTTTTTTTTTCTTTCTGTATCCCTGTGGCTAACATTGTGACTAGCACATAACAGGCAATTATGTTTTTTAAATATAAAATTCCCTTCTTTCCTCTAAACTTTTAACACCCTTCACTGAGATAGGAGTTGTGAATACAGGAGAATACAGTGCACACCTGCAGGAATTTTTAGGTAAGTGGAGGCAGTATATCTCAGTGGTTAAGGGCACTGTCATGCCAGATCCCTATTGACTTCAGGAAGGATAGCACCAGATTCAAGAGGCCAAAGACCAAGAGCCAACAAATGCGACATAGGATTTGTTGAGGGGAACTTACATAAGAGGGATCCAGTGGCAACAGGCTGGACAGGAGAACCACCACTGCCTGCAGAAAGCATGCAGTTTATATAGCACTTTCATCTTACACCCTCCCACTAACAACCTCCACCTGGCAACATTCATTTCGCATGAAACAAAGGGCCTTAGCCCCCTGTATGGCCCATGTTCCAAGGGCTGGGCCAGGGGCTCAGATGTTCCTCATAGATAAGGAATGAATCTCTGGGTTGGCCACGCTTGGAACACTAGACACACATTCAGGTGCGTCTGCACACAGGGTCATCCTCAGGGTATACTTAAGGTTAACTGCAGTTAGGCGCATCTGCCATACAGGCATGATCTCCAGAGTCATATTGCCTGGGTTTGTACCCTACTCTGCCTCCTACTAACCGTGTCACCTTGGGAAAGCCTTGACTGCTCCATGACTCAGTTTCTCACCTGTAAAATGGAGATAACAATAAGTCCCATCCCATATAATTGTGAGGATTAAATGAATGTGTGTGTGTGTGTGTGTGTGTATATATATATATATAGTGCTTGGAACAATGCCTGGTACAAGAGCAATATAGGTGTTATTTGTGATTATTATTCTCATTGTTATTAAATTGGCGGAGAGCTTCCCGTCCCCTGCTCTCCTTAACAGCCCAGAATTTCTGGGGGATGCTACCGTTGACGAGGATCTGATTCGGTGGAACAGGGATTGTGGCCAAAGATAGGTACATCAACAAAATTTAATCCCAGGTCATGAAGCTTGAACCTAGAATCCCCATCACCCTAGGATAAAAGCCCAATATTTTAGGAAGAACTGGCTCCTTCCCTTTTCCCTTGCCCCCTCAGCCTTTAGACTCCTGAAGACTTTAGTACTCTGTTCTTTCATGGGAAACGATGGCAGCAGGAAGAAAGTCCAGAATCAGATGCTAGAAAAAAAAAATACTGCAACAAAAACAAATGGGGGAAGAGGTTGAGCTCTGCATACTCTCCATTCAGTGAAGTGGATCCTTCCATGTTTTACTTCTCCAGACTATCATTACCTGTCATCCAGTCTATCCCAACACTTGTGTAACAGGCCTTCTCCAATTCATCTTACACTGATTTTAATTGAGTATTGCTAGAGCTGGGGTTCTTAACTTTGGTTGCACATTGGAATCATCCAGGGAGCTTTTAAAATGATTGATATCAACACAGAGATTCTGATTTACTTTTTTCAGAGTGTGGCCTGGGTATGAGGATTTTAAATAGTTCCCAAGTGATTCTACCATGCTATCAAGGTTAAGAACTACGGCCCAAATGTGTATAAGAATCACTGGGGAACTTGTTAAAATGCAGATGTTGTTTGGTAGGTCTGGGGTTAGGTTCTGAGATTCTGAGTCTCTGATGAACTCTAAGGTGATGCAGATTTTGCTGGTCCATAGACCACACTTTGAGTAGCAAGGGCTTGGAGAGCATGATAATATGATTCTCTTGTTCAATAACATCATAGGCTTCCACATTAAAGGCTTATTATCAGCCTGGATCTTAGGCTGGCATCAGTGAGGCATTTAAAGACTCTAACAGCAATAGTTATCAAATGTGGGATTCATCTGATGCACTTTGGCTGGGCAGGTTTAAAAAAATACAGATCCTGAACCTATACCAAAACCTACGTAAATTCATAATATTCAATGGGTAAACAGCCTGGCATAAGGTATTGAAAACACTTTCCACAAGTTGCCCCACAGATGATCAACACACTTTAGGAACTGTGATACGCTTCCAAGATAGTTTCCAAGACTCGTTTCAGCATTAATTCAACATACAAAATTAGGAATTTTATGTGTACCTGACTCGGATGCTGTAGGTCCCTACGGAAACAAGATGAAACCAGTGGCCGGGCGCGGGGTGGCTAAGCCGTGTAATCCCAGACACTTTGGGAGGCCAGAGGCGGGGTGGATCCACAGGTCAAGGAGGTCGAAACCATCCTGGCTAACACGGTGAAACCACCGTCTCTACTAAAAATACAAAAAACCTAGCGGCCGGGGCGTGGGCGTGGCGGGCGCCTGTAGTTCCCAGACTACTTGGAGGCTGAGGCGGGGGGGTGAGATGGCGGTGAACCCGGCGAGGGGGGAGCTTTAGCAGTGAGCCGGAGATCGCGCCACTGCACTCTCAGCCTGGGGCGATCGCAGAGAGCGAGACTCGCGTCTCAAAAAAAAAAAAAAAAAAAAAAGATGAAACCAGTTGCCTTTGCCTTGAAGGGTTTGGTAAGATAAACGAGCCAAGACTAGGGAATATGTTTACTATTCCCGCGAGGCTATGGGGTCTAAAGCACACATCTCTGCTAATGGTCGTCTTCTTTGGAGATTGTCTAGGTTCGTCTCGAGCACCCCAGGATTTGCTGTCCTGCATCAGATCAGGCAGACCACCGTCTTTATTCCCCATTCGAGCCTCCAGTTCTTATCGCGCTCAAACTTACTTCCGTTGCGCGTCAGCCGGTATAAAATAGAACAGAGAAGAAAAAGATTTGGGGACGCCAACGATTTGGAAATGACAACGAGTTGGCATTCTATGTTAGTGAGCTTTCCCATGTGCCAGTCATTGGGTTCAAAGACTTTACATACCTAAGTATTTAAAAATTTCTTCAAAATACCTTATGAGATAGGCTGTTATTTTTACTATCCCATTTCTGAGGATCGAGGAAAGGCAGGCAACAGAAAAGTAACTTGCCCAAAGATATACCAAGCAAGGTTCACTCTCAAGACTTATGCTTTACTGCCAAGTTGGTGACAGGGCTGACATTGGAATACTGTAACTTCTAATTCTCAGGCCTGAGCACTTTCCTGCTCATCAGTTCCTGTTTCACGACTTAAATTCAAGCACACGGGCGAGAACAATGTCTTACATCCCCCACAATGCCTAGTCAGGCTGCAAGCACTTAGTAGGTACTCGATAAATTGATTGGATGAGCTGTCCTATTGAGGGGAGGGGAGAAGTGGATAATGATTTAAACAACAACAGCTAAACAAGAGCAGCGACCTGCAGGTCTCACGTCACCGCCAGATCCCTCTTGACTCCCCCGCCGGAGAAGGAGGACCCTCCCGCGCGCTTTCGGAACGTCGGTGGCCCGGCTTCGGCTCTGCGCTCCATCCGCCCAGCCAGCAGGTGCCCCCAGACCCCCGGCTCCTCCTCCGCCGCCGTCACAGCCTCGTCCTCCCCCTCTGGTTCCTCCGCTTCCTGTTGCAGCGATCCGGGCCCGGAGCTGCGGGCGCCCGGGCGCCCGAGGCTTCCCGGTACGCTCCGCCAGGTAACCGCGCGGCGCGAACCGCCCAGCCGGGGTGGGCACCGGGCCCGCGCGGCCCATTGGGGAAGGAGGCGGCAGAGGGCCCGGGGTGGCCTCGGAAGGGGAGCGGGCCTCCGAGGCTTTCCTGCGCCAAGCTGCGGCGCCAGCCGGATGCAGGGATAACGGTGCCTGGCTCCGGCTCTTGGTCCGGGCGTGGCCGAGCGTCGCAGGCACGGCGGCGCGGAGATGCGATCGCCGTCCCAGCGAGGCCCCGGGACCCGCGCTCACCGCCAGCCACGCCAGCTCCAAGGCTCCTGCTCGCCAGCCTGGCCCTGGAACGGGAGAAACCAGGAGAGGAGCCTTGGACCTTTGAGCGGCGATGGCCTTCCAAATGCCCTTCCGTTCTTTGGCAAAAACCCGAAACCCACACAGTGAGTTCCCAAGGTCATAGAGTTGTGTCTGCCATTTACGAATGTCTGTTCTTTTATTTAAGTGATTGTAAATGGGCTGCTGTTTTCTCTGTCCTGCCAAGGAATTAGGATTCAGAGAAGAGGACTCTAAAAATACTAATAGGCATATCCAAATGAGCTGATCCGCATTACTGGCCAGTGACCCTGGCCTTTAGAAGGAGATAGGGGAGGGCAGTTCTCTTCACGCGGGATACTTTGTATTTCTGGCCCTTACTCTGAGAATTGGCCTTGATATTTTACAAAGTTTATTTCAGAACTCCATGTCAGAACTGGACCGGACTGTAGAGTTCTCCAGTCCTAGTCTCTTTCTTTCCTTTCCCTTCCTCTCCTTCCTTCTCCTCCTCTTCCTTCTTTTCTTTTCTTTCTTTCTTTCTTTTTTTTTTAAACTGGGGTTCTAGAGGTTAAAGTGATTTGCCCACACTCTTATGGCTAGTCTCTCTAGGGGCAGAGACAGAATTGGAACCCAGGTCTATTATGGACACACACTGTTTTCTTGAATGGAAATCTGATTTCAGATGAAAGCTGTACAGGCCTTGACCTTCGTGAAGCGCTTCTCTGGATAGCATTCTTGGGAAGTGGCTTGTGTATTGACTTCCACAGATATTATTTCACTGGTCAGAATAAGGTTAAGCAATAAGCATAGCCATGCAGACTATTTCTGCTGAGATGAAGCAGATATCTGATATGTTTTTGACTTTTTATTTGTACGTTTCAATGGAGGAGCTAATGAATACTAGTAATAACATTTTGCTCATTTTTAGATTTTGGTCCTGTGTGACTAAATTGACTCAGTTATAGCTGTTCTTGTCCTAACGTATTTGTCACCAGTACAGCTTTCTGGCATCATTTCATTTTTAACTGAATAATTGCCTTAAGTATATTTTTAGATCTCAACAAAAACTCCCCACCTCTTGAACCTTAGCATCCTTCTGCTTCACTCTTGGCAAATCTTTGGGTTGGATTTCAGAACGGAATAAAGCCAGGATTTCCCCCCAACCTCCAAGATGTCTGGACTCTTTGTTTAGTTCTATATTTAAGTTTATCCCAAGTTTTGTTTTTGACTGATAAACCTGTGACCCAAATCCAAACCTCAGCTGAATTAAGTATCAGCTTAAAACCACATTAAACTGCCATGTGTCATGTGACCTCTCACAGAACCCAAAGTGGCAGTGTTCTATTTTTTCATGAGTGCTTTTCATTGGGGTCTTTGAACTGTAAAGATATTATTTAATACATGTGCTTTATTATTTGTGTATTATTGCCCAAGCTCAGTCATCACTGGAGGGTTATTATTGACATTTACTTATCATAAAATGTGATGCCAGCCTACCAGCTCAGAGTGCGGTGCCTGGTTTCCAGTTTACAGCATTCACCAGTTGCTAACATGTTATCTCTGAGGAACGTGGAATTATAAATACAGCCATACTTAAATAGAAGATTCTTGGCTGTGTAGATAAGGAAAACAAGATAAGGCAATATTTTTGAACTATTCTATAATAGAAATGAGGACATATACATAAAATGACCCAATGCTGTTTTCTTAGGGTGCATTCTTTGTTTTTCTGGTTTTGGTCTTTTCATCACAGGATGGCATTAGCTCTGTGTCTGCAGGTGCTGTGCAGCCTGTGTGGCTGGCTCTCGCTCTATATTTCTTTCTGCCACCTGAATAAGCACCGAAGCTATGAGTGGAGCTGCCGGCTGGTCACCTTCACCCATGGAGTCCTCTCCATAGGCCTCTCCGCTTATATTGGCTTCATTGATGGCCCATGGCCTTTTACCCACCCAGGTAGGTAGGGGATTTTCCCTTAGGGATTTATGATTTGGGGGTAGTCTTAGAAACATGGGACTTTTAAACAGAATTTGTACAATATTGAAGAATAATTCCCATTATAATTTTGTCTTGGAATCCTCATTCTTCTTCATTGTTAACTCTGATACTGTTTGTCACTTGTTTCTGCTTTTCATAACTCTCTACTTTTAAAACAAATTTTAAATTGCTTGTTACAATTTCATCAGAAATATAAAAACCATAAAGTCAGTATCAACATGTTCCAAAAGACACAAATAGAACTGTATTATACATATTTTTGTCAACTTGCAACTTTTACTTGACTGTCTACTCAAAAGACAGCATCTTTCCATGTCTATGTTAAGAGGATGAGATGTTCCTTATCCTATTTGTTACTAGATGTACAAGTGTTACTTTCGTAAGTATGTAATTTTTTTTTTTTTGAGACAGAGTCTTGCACTGTTGCCCAGGCTGGGGTGCAGTGGCTCAATCTCAGCTCACTGCAAGCTCCGCCTCCTGGGTTCGCGCCATTCTCCCGCCTCAGCCTCCTGAGTAGCTGGGACTACAGGTGCCCGCCCCCATGCCCGGCTAATTTTTTTTTGTATTTTTAGCCGAGACGGGGTTTCACCATGTTAGTCAGGATGGTCTCGATCTCCTGACCTCATGATCCGCCCGCCTCAGCCTCCCAAAGTGCTGGGATTACAGGCGTGAGCCACCGCTCCCGGCCAAGTATGCAAAAATTTTACCCCCTTGTATTAATTGGTTGGGGCTGCCAAACACAGTACCACAGAGTGGGTGGCTTAACCAGGCGTTTATTTTCTTAAAATTCTACTCAAAAGACAGCGTCTTTCATGTCTATGTTAAGAGGATGAGATATTCCTTATCCTTTTTGTTACTAGATGTACAAGTGTTACTTTCATAAATATGCAATTTTTATTAAAATTCTAGAGGCTGTAAGTCCAAGTTCAAGTTGTTAGCAGGGTTGCTTTCTTCTGAGGCCTCTGTCCCTGGCTTGCAGATGGCTGCCCTCCCACTGTGTCCTTCCATGGTCACCCCTCTGTGTGTGTGTGTGTGTGTGTGTGTGTGTGTGCATGCATATCTGTGTCCTAATCCCTTCTTTTAAGGATAACAGTCATATTGGATTACTCTAGTTACCCCATTTTAACTAGATTACCTCTTTAAAGGCCCTATTTCCAAATGCACTCACATTCTGAGGTACTACTGGTTAAGGGCTTTAGCATATGAATTTGGGGAGGGGGGACACAATGCAGCCCTTAACTCCCCTGGAATAGAATTTTTTAAAATATTTCTTTAGCTTCTCTGATCGAATTTCTGAGTTTTCCCCCCAAACCGTCAAACCGATGAAAGCAACTGTTAAGCTTTGTGTTTTATATGAAGGTTCTAAATGGTTTCAAATATGTCAGGTCCTTAAAACCTATGTTCCTGGACATGAGCACACACTAACTTCTGGGGCCCTCTCCGGAATCTACTTTCAGGATAGGTTAGGGCCACTGAGTGTTCAATAACGTAATCCATTAAGCTGAGAAAAAAATCTGACATTCAGGAAACAATTATCCAAGAGTCTGGAAATAAATCTTTAGCAGGGTAAAAAAAAAAAAGTGTAGGATTTTAATTGAAGAAACAAAATAATTGGATTTTATGCTGTTCCACGGAGAGGACACAGATTCTTGCCTGTGTTCACTGAAGGATGCAAACTCATTGAAGTCAGATTCATCAGAACAGCGTTTCCTGAGGTCTGAACATCATTTAGTTTGATAAAGACCTAGATTTTATATTTTAGTCTGTCTTTGGCCCTCCTTAAAAAGCACATGCCTGCCATTGTTTTTGTTTTAGTGTTCAGTAAGGTTTGAAGGACAACAACATAGGATCCCTGTGCAAGGTAGCACAATTCCCAGTCACTCAATTTGCTTCCGTCTTGGTTTGTTTCAGGCTCACCCAATACACCTCTCCAAGTTCATGTCCTGTGTCTCACCTTGGGCTACTTCATCTTCGACTTGGGCTGGTGCGTCTACTTCCAGTCCGAGGGTGCCTTGATGCTGGCTCATCACACGTTGAGTATCTTGGGCATTATCATGGCCCTTGTGCTTGGGGAATCTGGCACAGAGGTCAATGCAGTCCTCTTTGGAAGTGAACTTACCAATCCCTTGCTACAGATGCGCTGGTTTCTCCGGGAAACAGGACACTATCACAGTTTCACTGGAGATGTAGTGGACTTCCTCTTTGTGGCTCTGTTCACAGGAGTGAGGATTGGTGTAGGAGCTCGCCTCCTTTTCTGTGAAATGGTCTCCCCCACGCCTAAGTGGTTTGTGAAGGCTGGGGGAGTAGCCATGTATGCTGTGTCTTGGTGTTTCATGTTTAGCATCTGGCGCTTCGCATGGAGGAAGAGCATCAAGAAGTACCATGCTTGGAGAAGCAGGCGGAGTGAGGAACGGCAGCTGAAACACAACGGACATCTCAAAATACACTAGCCAAGGCTTGCTCCAGATTATGGATTGGGTTAAGTCAGCCATGGGAACCAGGTTGGAAATATGACTGTTATGGAATTATGCTTATAACAAACTTAGGTTTCAAAAAAGGGCTAAATTTATTGATCAATTTGGTCAGTCTTCAAGCCGAGCATATATCAGTATTAAAACACCAACTTCTACAGTGGCACAGTTGTCGAAAGTGAGAATACTCCATGGTAGCTGGGAATAAGTCAGAGCTGTGAAGTGAGTACAACTGGCATTTGTTTTCATTTGTGGTGACCCTGGGTCCTTCTGTCCCTGGGAGGTTTGATGTTCAGGCAGTTTAGAAAGGAACTGGAAAAAGATTAGTGCTATTTCTTGTTCCTTTGAGAAGCAACTCTTTCAATAAACACTTATTTCTGCTTTTCATGTATCTATTTATCTAAGTTTACCCCATTTACTCTAAAGTGAGGGGCTTTCAGAAAGAGACACGCATTTGGGATTCTGAACATTAGATCGGGGAATTGGGCCGCTTAAACAGAGGGGCGTAGGAGGGCGAGAGTGAAACTGTGACAGCGAGGGGGAGCGTTACTTACTGAACCTCCTATACCAACTGTGCCAGAGGTGCCCAAGACCACTGCCAGGTTCCGTAATTCTCTGGGAGGACTCAGTGGACTCATATATAGTCAGCATATAGTCATATATGTAAGCATATAGTCTTACAAAACTCATAGTTTTGATTTATTATAGTGAAAAGATTCAAAGAAAAATCGGTAAAAGGAAAAGACACCTGAGGCAAAGTCTAGGGTAAAGCAAGCACAAGTTTCCAGAGTCCTCTCCCAATGGAATCACACAGGATGTGCTTAGTTCCCCTAGCAGTGATTTGTGACAACATGTGAATGGGCTATCTACTGGACAAGGTCATTACAGACTCAGTGCCCAAGGTTTTTACTGAGGACAGGTCACCTAGGCAGCCTTTCCCTGGCAGATAGCAAAATTCAAGATTTTCAAAAGGAAAGCAGGTGTTCAGCATAAGCCATATTGTTTGCACAAACAGTTCAGACACAGTAAGCCAGTCTTATCAGTTAATGGTGGGAGCCCTTCCAAAATCTGAGTTCCCAAATGCCGGCCAGTGGCCAACCCTGTAATCAGGCCTCTCCAAGGATAGCAGTTTAGGCCTGCTATGTTAACTCTTTTCTGCACAAAACCTGTAGAATTAGGGCTTTGGATTTGAGATGAATGAAGTGTGGGTAGATTTACTGAGTCCTGTTATATGGGTTCTGCCCTACCAGGAAAACTATGCCAGTTCTCAGGGCTTTTGTGCATTAATCTCCTAGGCATTTGAGGCTATGACTAAATTCCATAGGGATTTATCATGTGGATTCCACTGTGCTTGAGATGGCAGTTTAGATTTCAGCTCTGCTGTACATATTGCAAACTAGAACCAAAGACTTTAAAGTGTGTACTGGCCTCAGGGGGATGAGGTCAATTTTTTTTTTTTTTTTTTTTTTCATTTTAGATACATTCCCTTTTAGTACTCCTGCTTTTCTTATTTTTACTAAAATGGTACCACTCTATGAACAAACTAATACAACAAGGCCAGTCTTGAAAGGAAAAAAATAATAATTCTTAGTGTGACAGTCTTCAAGAGAAGCAAGAATATAAGCTTAGAACAAGGGGTTAAGAATCAAGAATTCCTGGGTTCTTAGTTTAACTAATTTTGCTACTCACTTGCCAGATCATGTGGATAGGTTACTTGTTTCTTCTTTGCCTGAGTTTAAACCTATTGTGAATGAATGAAATACCCTGTAGTATATTTCATAGAGACATTATGTGGCATTTTATTAATGGAGGTCTTTCTTGTAGGGCTTTTATGAAAACATGAAGTATTTATTTATGTATTTATTGATTATTTATTTTTACCATGTTATTTAAGTCAATGGTGTTTGATTAGCTCAGTGGGTGAGCAAGCATATGGTGCTACTGGAGGCAAAGCTGGTCAGTAGGAAGTGTCAGTTCATTCCATGGCCACTGGTAATCTAACGTAATGAGTGTTTTTTTTTTTTTTTTTTTAAAGATGGAGTCTTGCTCTGTCGCCCGGGCTGGAGTGCAGTGGTGTCATCTCGACTTACTGCAACCTCCGCCTTCTGGGTTCAAGTGATTCTCCTGCCTCAGCCTCCCGAGTAGCTGAGACTACAGGCGTGTGCCACCATGCCTGGCTACTTTTTGTAGTTTTAGTAGAGACGGGGTTTCACCATATTGGCCAGGCTGGTCTCGAACTCCTGACTTCATGACCTGCCTGCCTCGGCTTCCCAAAGTGCTGGGATTACAGGTGTGAGCCACCATGTTCAGCCATGAGTGGTCTTGAAAATGGAAAATGGTCTTGGCCACAGAAACCAGGCATGAGGGAGTGGTTGGAATGGTGTAAAGTCATCACTGTTCAGGAAACAGTAACTTTAAATGCATGTTAACAGTGCGTCTTTAAAAATGAATGTCATTTGGTTAAAGAGTTTTGCTGGGCATTGAGATAATCTGACAGCATCTCCACTTCCTGTTTTTTTTCTTAATCTCCACTTTTTTTTTTTTCTATGATGAGCGCCCCTAAAAAGCTGGTGAGCTTCTTTCCAACAAAATTGCGGTCAAAGTAGGATGCTGGGGAATGCTGATTTTAGCAAGACTCGTAGAAAAGAGTGGCTTGGCACATAAGCTTAAAAAAACAGAAAAAAAGCTGGCTCTTGAATTTTGGCACAGTGCAACCTGTTCCATACCAGACAAATGAACAGGCTTAATCTGGTACCAATTCTTTTTCTCTCTTACTCCTCAGAAATAAAGGGACTGCAGATATTGTTGTTTTGGGAACACTTTCATGGGACTGTATGTAGATTTTTTTGAATGGTGAGAAATATGAATAATCGGTAAGGGGAAGGGAATCCCTCATTTCAGCTTTTCTTGATGTTATTACTAATAACTATGAAAAAACTTCTGAGAGAACAATGTGAACTGAAGATGACTCAGCAGTTAAGATGATGCTAAGTTTTGAAACCACAGGTAAATGAAGGGCTAATGAATGTGTGGTATACTCGGACAAAATGAAGTACTCATTTGCACTGGATTACTATGTAATGATAACGAACACTGTTCAAGAAGGATTTATATTTCCATAAGATTTGTACTAAATTTTATAAAAGTAAAACAACTTTTTATAAATCCAGAGTCTGTCTTTATATTTTTGTGGTGGTTTTGCCAACAAGTTAAAAACAGCCTTTTGACTTGTAGAAATGTTGACCTGTATTCATACTTACTAGTGAATATCTCTAATCTGCTGTTCATTATCCATCATTCCCCCTATTTTGTCATTTTGGGGGGTAACAACTGACATACAGAAAACAGTTTGCCAAAAGAGAGAGGAAGAACCTCAATGTGTTTCTTGTTCTGCCACCTGTTTGGACACTTGCCTTGAAAATGGTGATGTCAAGTGAGTTGACATCAGACATCATCTGAAGACAGCTGGAGGCCCTGTCTTGAGGACTGTACTACCAATGCCTAAAAGAGTCTGGGATGCATAGTAGATACTTAATAAGCATGTTGAAAGAATGGACAAGAGGATGAGAATGTGGTTTAGAATAATCCCCATTGGAAAACCTCCTCAAAGAGCATGTCCAGTGGATTGGGTCATCAATGTCATTTTTCTAGGTAAAGTAATACTGACCCTGAGGAGTGTGTTCTACCTAGACTGGCTTGACTTTCTGAAGGCATCCATAGTTACAGCCTTTACAACAGTTGAACTACCAGCAGCTTTAAAGAGGCTTTCAGGTTTTTTGTTTGTTTGTTTGTTTTTTAAATCATCAATGCTTTGTAGGTGACTACAGAGATTTTCCATCATTAAAAAAAAAATTAGTTCTGGAATGAATAACCACGGCTTAATTCAATCTTTTGCTTACCATCTTCTGAAGCTTTCCCACAGCAAAATGCCTTCTTTGCTCACAGCTAGAACCGTGGGTCTGTTTAAGTTTGGAAAGATCTTGAAAGCAGCTTGCCAAGAGGTTTTGTATGCAAGGAAGAGAAGGTGAATTAGGAAACTTTCCCAGTTTGTTTTATTCCTGAAGCTTAAGTATTGAGGCTTCCCTCAAGTATTAAGGGAAGAGAGGAACTCATTTTTAAAATGCATGATTTGATGAGTCATTGGGTTCAATTAATTTGATACTTACACTGTAACATTATTAGAATAGGGGAAAATAAGATATTTAATACTTTTAAGAAAGATTTATTAAGTTTGGGAATAAGGTTTGCATTTTGGTCAGTGTGTATATATATAGAGAGAGAGAGATGAATGGGATTCGTTCCAATTACATGTAAACACTCAATTTAAGAGTCTTCAGGGTAGAATTGTCATGCTAGGATACACCAGCAGGTGGCAATGTGTCCTGGTCTCATCATTAGGAAAGTGCCTTGGCTAATCTGCTTCTATTCTTTCCAAAAATAAACATTACAAAATTAGCTGGCTGTGCCTTGAACCTAAAAAATCGAGCAATAAAGAGTCGTCTCTGGCCTCTGTTTATCTTTTCCTTTTTTTTTTTTCCAACCCCCCGTTCTAACTAACGTCAGTGTGAGCTCATGCCTCTATTCGGGGATAATGATCCTTTCATGAACTGTTGTGGAATGACTTTTTGCAACAGCATTGTTAAGAGGTAATTGTTTCCTCTCTCCACATCCACTGTTTATTAGATTTGATTTGCTACTTGGATTCCACAAAATGGCTGAAATTCCTTGCCACCAACATAGGTTTACGCTCAAAAGTCTGAAAATAGTTGGATAAAGGGAATAGCCTCTTTAGACGTTTGCAGGCAGAACTGAAGAACTGCATTATACGTGGTACCTAAATTGCCGTAATACTGAATTATTCAATCATAAAACTAGATGGGTATCTAAATCTCTCTACCCAGAAGGGGAAAAAAAACGAAAAAACGTTTGGAACCCTTCAGAGAGAACCGTAATGCTATTTACTGGATAAATATACTTCATTTTCTTCTCCCATTTCTTTCCACAACACGCTTGTTAAGTCGCCATGCAAAGCACCATGCCTTCTCAATTTGGCAAATAACACATTTCATTTTGCCAAGGCAAAAACAGCCTAAAA